TTACTATTTTCATCTTGAGGTAATGATGAAACGAGTTGTTTTTAGAGAAATTTCTGATCAGACAGACAAAACAAATCTTTGATCTAAGCAAATGAAGACATCTAAATATATTCTTCTCTATTTATGGCTAGCTCTCCACTAGGCATAGCTAATTCAAAAGAATGCTGGATTTGAAGAGATGTCTATTGTCCCTGCTAACAAGAAAATGAGCAAATATCATAATACAGCAGGATCTTACAAGAAAGCCAAGGATTATGCCCGTCCAAGACTTGATTTAACATAACACAGGGCAAGGTTGGCTGTCCTAAGCCACACACACTGAGAGCACCTCTATTGAGTTAGCGGAGTTAGCCATGTGTGCAGCCTGCCACGCATGCCCTTTTTTGGGCTTAAAGGAACGTGTTCTTCCCCAAGAGCCTGGGAGCAATTCCGCCTAATCTACTTCCCCTCATCTACATCCTCAGCCGTTCCGCTAAAAATAGGCAGATTAATCTAGCGATAAAATACGAGAGCACTTTGGTAATATTCAGGGCTAAATCAGCACTATGTGAATGTTTAGATGTGATTAATGAAAATTTGCCAGTGGTAAATTATGATGTGTTAGTACTAGCTTCGTAAAAGCCTTTTCATTTGGCTCTCTGGTCATGATGGGTGGAGATGAATGACGATGCACATACAGCACTTGTGGCCTTTTTCATTCTTTCATGGTTCTGTACACTGTGATACAGTGCTGCCTTTAAGCTTTGCGAGGGTTGTCTATCGGGGATGGTGGTGGGGGGGTTGCTGAGAGAGTTTCAGTCCACAGCAAGGTCACACACAGTGAAGCACATTCTCTCTGCTCACCCAGCTATGCCACACTTCACTTTGGACGTTCAAACTAAGGGCAGCCAAAATGAAACTTCTGTTTTAATCCCCCTCTTTTAGGACAGCTGTGCTAATGCTAATTGTCCTGCTCTCTGCAGTTAAACGTCTTTTCTGTTCCTTCCCACTGTGTATTTCTCAGTTTAAACCTTTTATCATTCCCTCAGTAATAACAGGTGTGGGAGTCCTCATTAAGCACAACTTCTTCATGAATATTTTTGAGGAGGTAATTCTAAAGCCAATTCGGCCCTAAAGGCAAAGCTTACCACCTACTTTCTTATCAAAGGGCTTAAAAGTTAATGGTAATGCCAGCGGTGAACAATGACTATCACAGCTAGGCCTTCAGTTCGGGCCATAAATGTCAAAACTTGATCAAAAACTCGAAAAAACACCTCTACGATAATGCTAATTTGTGCTAGAGCCCCTTTGGGATTCTAGCAGTATGATCACACACAGAAAACGGCAATTAACAGGAACATTTTTTGGCCGTTCTAGATTAAACACATATTTGAAGCTTGAAAAAGACATTATATGTTTATTTGAAGCTTGTAAGTAAAGTATAAGTATTATACTATATATATATATATTACCTTGTAGCCATTTTACAGTGTCTATTTAGTAAACAGAGCTAGAGCTGCTGTTTTCCATATCTTGTATTCACACTCAGTGACATATCTAGGACTTCCAGTAGGCATAAAGTGATGTTTTTCTCATAGTATTGGTTGCACTCATTATAAATCAAAATGTGAGCTGTTAGTTCCTAATTATGTTAGTGGTGACAAGTTAGGCCCCCAGTTCAGCTCATTGGATAGTTTTCTGTTGGGAGTTTCAGAACTTTATCTTTTTATTTTCAACCAAACTTAACAATAAAATTAGAGTATTACTGTCATGCTTCCTGGTTCTCAGTCAGACTCTCACCTCACTACGAACTCTACCTCCCAAGATCCCTCAGTATGTAATGTGACACCAGGGAACTAGCAGATCCAAGTCACCTGAATACTGTTGGTCATCACCTGTAGAACCGTTAAGCCAGTCTGTTCCACTGTTACTTTGTAAAGTATTGCCCCTGTTCTGTCAATGCATACTGAGCTGGCTTCTTGTTTACTGCTTTTCCTGTGTTTGACCTTGCTTTGTTTCTCTTTTTTCGTTTTTCAGATTATCCGCTATTGGCTTTGTTTACATCCCTCACTTGTTTATGACCATGATTTCACCTGCTCCCATGTATTGTGCTTTTCTCTACTGGATTTTGATCTGGTCTGGTGTTAACCCTGTTTTTTGTATCAATCCTTTTTCAAATAAACCTTGCAAGTGTCTAATTCGTCAACCTAGCATTACCATTACTATAGTGCATGGTGATTATATTAAAGAAAAAAAAAAAACTTAAAATGACTTTTTTTATTTCACAGAAATCAATAGGCCTTTCTCTAACGGTGAAGAAGGCCCTGAAATGTCTTCACTAGATAATGCCCATGTAGCACTTCCTATCATACATAAAAGCATAAAAATATCAGACAAAAGATTCAAGCAAGTTAGTCAAGGTACTGGGCAATATATTATCTAAACTGCTATTCTTTAATTCGTGCGACATTACATTGATTTTTAGTTTTAGCAATATTGGTAGACAACAAAACTTACATAATTTCCTGGGTGCTTCTGGGTGCTTTGTAGCATGTCAGTTGTGTGTCTGTATTTCAGCAGAATGGACCATTACCCAGTGCAACTTTGAGTCGCGCTAGTCAGGCCTCACAGGACAGCTCATTGAAGAAAAACCAGGACTAGATCATGGATTGGAGAGCAAAGTGCTCATGCTTACAGAGTGGAAGGGTAAAAAGATCAATTCTAATCACCAATTTCATGGCAGTTTTCTATAATTATCCATAAATCGATAAACAGACCCAGTACTAGAATTCATTTAGTCTGCATTCATTTCAATCTGTTGACTGTATATGTGAGATAGGGATGGTTCAGATAGAGAGAAAGCGTGAGAAGGAATGAGAGGGTTAAAAGCTTTCAAATGCACATTAATATTATAAGCTGTTATAAATCTCAGGCCTCTTCACTCAAGCTTGTTTTTGTTTCTATGGGTCTATTGCTCATGTTTACTGAAGGTCTAAAACTGTAAAACTGTCGGAAGAGAGATTGATTATAGTCCTTTTCCATGCCCAGGCCATATTGATCCAGTGCCTGACAGGCACCCTCTGATGACTTAAAATATCCACCTCCTGTAATGAACTGACTGGGCTTTGTGGCCTTTATTGCTCAGAAAGAAGCAAGTGCAGGGAAACATTTGGCAGGGACAATCTGCCAGACCAGCTTGTGATTCAACCTTCAGCACAACAGCATAGAAGCCTGAATAAATGAACACTAAACTTGATTACAGTTTCATGAACATGTTTCATGCTCTCCTTGTTTTACACAGTGGCTTTCTGCAGGGCAAGCTGAGAGATATGGCACAAACACATTTCACAGATTTAGGGTGTCTGTAAAGCCCTAATGAAGGCCCTCTGGGAAAATATTATTTTTTGAGCTTTTGAAGTTGACAGAAAACTGGAAAAACTTCAGTACACTTAATTTTTTCCCCTGCGCTGATGTAAATCTGCCCCCAACACCCACACTCATAGATAGACAAAACCATGACAACATAACAGAACATTGCCTCACTGAGTTGTTTTTTACTGTTTTGGGACATAGTCATGGTTATCATTTCGGTGCACACAGCTGAACAGCTTAAACTGAGTGAAGCTGGCTAGGGTCCTAAAAGAAAACGCTTCAGGAGGAAATACTTTGGGGTTCTCCAGTTTCAGTGCAAAGTCAGAATGTAGCAGAAGAGCAGATGTATTACCAGCAGGTGCTGACTTTTAATTTCAGCACTGCGGTGTGCACTGAATAGTCCTGAACCTCTGACTCGGCAGCACTGCGTGTGAGACACACACAGCAAAATCCCCAGAGCTGATTTAACACCAGCAGTGTTGATTAACACCTATAGTGTTAATTAACTACTACATGTTTATATTAACATTTACAGCACTGACTTAACACCTACACTGCTTAATTATAATCTACAGTGCTGAATTAACACCTATAGTATTTAATGAACACCTGCAGCGTTGAATTAACACCTGCAATGTTGAATTAACACCTCCATTGCTGGAATACCACATTCAGTATTGAATGAACACCTACAGTGTTGAATTCATACCTACGGTGTTACATCATCATCAGTGTTGAATGAACACATACAGCGTTAAATTCATACCTACAGTGTTGAATTAACACATTCAATGTTGAATTAATGCCTACAGTGATGAATTAACACCTCCAATCCTGGATTACCACATTCAGTGTTGAATTAATACCTACAGTGTTGATGTAGCACATCCACTGCTGGATTACCACATTTAGTACTGAATTAACACCTCCACTGCTGGATTACCACATATGGTACTGAATTAACACCTACAGTGTTGAAATCGTACATACAGTGTTGAATTACTACTGGATACTGTACTGGATTACTACATTCAATACTAAATTAACATATACAGTATTGAATTAACACCTACAGCATTAAATTAACATTTGCAGTGTTACACCCCTATAGCACTGAGTTAACAGCCATAGTGCTGAATTAACACCTACAGTGTGTGTTTAAGTCCAGTTGAACACAAATGAACACTGCGAGCATTAATTAAGAATTTTGCACCTTTGTAACCCACCAATAGCTTTTACCACTACAGTAATACTACAGTTATTATTCCCTGTGTTGAACCCCAAGAAACCATTCAAGAGATATCTGGCTACATCCAGATCCCCATGGCCTTATGATTATCCCCTCTGGTGCTCCATGTAATCATGACTGAGAGTCTAGCTATTGTTCTCGTGTAACCCACCTGCGTTCTGGTCTTAGCTTGTGTTCAAGCAGCTCTGATTACATGTTTTTCTTGAAAGGAACACTACCAAGGTGAGACATCAACACATCTGCTCATTTCCAAACTATAGCCTGTGGTTACGCTGCTCCAGGAACAAATTGCAACCGACAAAATAGCTTCTCCTCTTCAGTCCTGTACTACGTTAGTAGTGATCTGATGTGAATATGTGCATATACAGCAGCAATACAGCACTAAGGGCAAGATTCTTACCAGTGGGAGTGAGCAGTCTGGGCGGTGGTGGTGGAGGGGGTGGGGGTGGTAAGGGTGGGTAGCGTCTGCACTGGCATGGCAGCTGGCAGATGTCTTCGATTGGAGCTGCTGGGCTCCGAGAGCATGACTTCTGGAGTTCTCCCTGGGCATGCTGGCGACGAGAGGAGAGCACAGTGTCAGAATTCGTCAAGATAATTCTCCAGTCTCCAATATTCCCTTTCCATTGTGATTTTATCAGTTCCTCCTCAATAGAGCAAGTAATCCACTACTTCCACAACACAGGTGACTTAGAATAGCATATTGCTGCTGCCAGAACAAAACCTCGTATCTCCACAATGAAAACTATACAGGAGAAGGTAAAAACATACCTTACTTTTAACGTTAATCAATGTAACCAGACTTTTTTTCCAAGTCATTTTGGGTCATTACCGTTGGTCCATTTCCCATGTAAAGGGCAACAGGCATTTTCAAATTATGTTAAAAACGGACAAAAATGGAGATACAAGGTTATGTTTTCGACAGCAGCGATATATTGAACTGAAAATCTTTTTCATTGATTGATTTCATTTTCATTGATTTAAAGGAATTTTTTGTGTGAACTACTGTCTACTGTCATATCAAAATATCCTAATTTGCAACCTCATAAGTTACCATTTTGGAGATACAAGAGTTTGTTACAACAACTTTAATCTGAATATATTTAAATGAAATGGAATAGATTTAACTGCAATGGTACAAGTATGAGCGTAGATTAGTCACCAAACCACTGTTTGGTATGCATAAATTGTGACAAAATGGTGGAATTCCCCTTTAAGATTAATAGGTTGAACGCTAAACTTGCTGACATATTTCCTAATCATTAGAACACATCAAAACCCATAATGAAAGTGAGCTGTACAATATTTAACCAGGAGTTCCCCAGTTACTAGTATCACCGTAAATATCACAGAACAACACAGCACACTTCATTTTCATAAAGGCCTGGTCTCTTCACAAACACGTTTAATAGGAGCTCCCTCCCACTAGGAGGAGAATGAAGGGTGTGTGGAGGCTAAGGTCTTTCCAAGAGCGCTCCTACACACACCTCGGCCCCTCAGCTCCCCAGAGGAGTGGGAGTCGTGTGGAGCAAAGCCTGACTCTCCTTCCTTCTGACAGACCAAGCAGGAAACCCTTTCGCTAATGTCCTGTAAGCTTGCTGCCGCAGGCAACAATGGGTGAGGACTCTGAGTCTTTGCACATCAAGTGATCCGTATCAGCAAATACTACTAGTAGTAGGCTGCTATTACTAGGGGTCTAACAATACAGTCAGCCCACGGTTCAGTTCACTTTACAGGGTTCATGATTTGGGAGTCTCACAATGTAAGAAGTGGAGAAAAAAGTGATTATATTAATTATGTTGTTGCACAACTTAGTAATGACACTAGAGCTGGAATGCAGGACGAGTGCTGGAGTGAGCTGTTGATCTGAGGTGATCGTTTGCTAACTTTGGTGCTGAGATGAGCAATTGCATTAGATGACATAACTGATAGAACATATCAGCTCTTCGTGATTCACTGCCACAAGTGTCAGTTGTTTTAACACTTGTTGAGGTGAGATAACATCAAAATGGATAGAAGCAGCTTTTACGACAGCACGTATTGGAATAAGACTTTATAAATGTTTATGGAGGTTTATGCTAGTTGTCATCAAAAGCTTACACAGGTGATGGAGCCTCTGGATTCTGCCCTTCAGGTAAGTGTTACTGTTGCTGTATAATGCACATAACCAGCTGTGTAAAGGTTCACATCCTGGTGAGATTGAGCCCTAGCCATGGCGTAGCAGAACCACTTTTGGATCCCTAAAGAACCCTTCAATAGATGTCACCTTAAACAAACTCAATTGAAACCACCCAGCTGAGAGCTTCTTTAGTTCTTCTATGGCATCACTCCAAATAACCACAATATCTGCACCTTTATTTTTGAAGACCGAAGAACGTTAACTTGCATTACTATGTAGGATCCACTACTACTAAGTCTGCTCAGAAGTTACTTTGGACTTAACAAGTTAGTGATTCTCTTTAGTTTTCAGAATGAAGACTGTTTTTTTTTTCTAAGCCGATCAGTAAAAAACTCTACATCAAATGCAGCTGATGTAAAATAAGCTTCACCCATTCATCCCATACACGTGTAAAAGAACAGTTCTTTATTTTCCATCACAGAAGAACTAAGCAACTCCATTTTCAAGCCCATTTTAAACCCCATGCTCAAATGACATGCACATCCCTGGTGTAGTATCCCTAATGACCCTCAGCGCCCAGTTCCAACAACCTACCTGTAACAGTGGCAGGAACAGCGACAGAAAGCAGTGGTTAAACAAAAAAGGCAGAACCCCCAAAGCGGTCGACGGCAAATTTGGAACAAACATTCCTCCTGTCTCTTCACAGTCCACCTGGCGAGCACACGAGCGCGAGGCGCGGACAACTCTCTGCTCTGGAAGGGTTCAATAATCCAGCCTCTCGCGCTGAACGGCGACTTTGCCCTCGAGCTTCTCGCAGCGTGGTCCTCTGAACATTCCTGCCCAGTTAGCTCATTGGTGGGTGGCATGAAGAGCCCAGAACAGTGTGGGATCCGAAGAGGAGCTCCGCGTGCCGGGGCTTAAAGTTGGAGATGATGCTCTCGCGCTGTGGTGCGCTGCAGGCTGGACCCAAACTTCTCCAGCCCGCGAGACCGAGGCAAAATCCTGGCCGCTGGAGCCCCTCGATCAGGCTTCATCTCTTGTGAGAAGCATATGGGACTGGACCGTTTCACCGGCGCGACGCGGGAAAAAAAAGTTACCTACCGACGCTCTGAAACGCTGATGTAGAGCTGGAGCTACGCGCGAGAGAAGACTGGCCGACGCACGAGGGCTTCACCCTAAACCGCAAGCTGGAGCTTTCCTCTCTTCGTTACTTCTGGAGCACCACCTGAGCTGAACGGACACGTGCAGAAACAGGGATGATGTTCTGAGAGGTCAGCCATTGGCGCGATCGATGTTGTCTCCCAGTGTTGCCCCCCCCTCTTCTGGACAGAGCTGAGGCTGTTCCTACTCAGGGAGGGCTGAGGAAAACGTCTGGACCACAGCGGTGTCCGGTGAAGACTCTTGTACAGCTGCCCGGTTGGGAATCCTTATTGCGTTTTTTCGCGCGAGTGTGCAGAGAGAGTTGAACGTGCAGAGTGGAGAAGAAGAGAGTTGGAGCACATGGAGAGGAGGAGGGGGGCACTATGTCTAATTACTGTGCATACACACCTCCCAGTGTCAGTACAGCAGCATTCACTATGGAAAATATATCTTGGTAAGTGAAGCATCTGAAGTGCAGCCAACATATATCTAAGATTCTGCATTAGGAGATCATTGATGGATTGTACAAAATCTACCAGTGCAGTAAGATAGTCTGTATCTATATCTATATATACAGTCAGATCCATAAGTATTTGGACAATATTTGTACACCATCTCAATGGATTTGAAATAAAGCAGTCAAGATGTGATTGAAGTGCAGACTTTCAGCTTTAATTCAAGGGGTTTAACAAAAATATTGCCTGAACCATTTAGGAATTACAGCCGTTTTTTACATAGCCCATCCATTTTAATTAGACAAACTAACGTGATTATAAATACAAGGATTATTTTTAATACTTGGATGCAAATCCTGAAGTCTGGAGCTCATGGACATCACCAAATGCTGAGTTTCCTCTCTTGTGATGCTTTGCCAGGCCTTTACTGCAGCCGCCTTCAGTTGCTGCTTGTTTGTGGGTCTTTCTGCCTTCAGTTTTGTCTTCAATATGATGATTTGGGCTGAGGTCAGTGACTGACTCGGCCATTTAGGAACATTCCATATTTTTGTCTGAAGAAGCTCTGGGGTTGCTTTCACTCGATTTTTTGGTCATTATCCATCTGTACTGTGGTGCGCTGTTCAGTTTTATAGCATTTGACGGAATCTGAGCAGGAAGTGTAGCTCAGCACACTTCAGAATTCATCCTGCTACCTCTATCAGCAGTCACATTATTAACCAACACCAGTGACCCAGTTCCATTGGCAGCATGCCCACACTGTAACACTACCTCCACCATGTTTGACAGATGATGTGGTATGTTTCAGATCATGAGCCCTTCATTTCTTTCTCTATACTATTCTTTGTCCATCATTCTGTGACGAGATAATTTTGTTTTCATCTGTCCAAAGAATCTTGTTCCAGAACCTGTCAGGTTTTTTTAGACGTTTTCTTCTTGAGTGTTCTTGAGTGTTTCCAGTGGTTTGCGTCTTTGTGGTAAACGCTCTGTAATTACATTCATGAAGGCGTCTCTTGAATGTAGACTTTCACAATGATATGCCAACCTCCGCTGGAATGTCCTTGACTTAACTAGATGTTGTGAAGTGTTTTTTTATCACCACAGAAAGAATTCTGTCGACACCTCTCTGGACCACATATTGAGAGTTTCCATGAACAGCTACCAAGTGAATCAGTTCCAGAGCTTTTTAACAAGGGAACAGACCACATTTGGCTATGACACTGCTTACCAGTCACCTGTCAAAATACTTTTGAGCCTGTGAAATTGGAGTGACTATGCAAAAAATGGCTGTAATTGCTAATAAACTGGTAATGCAATATTTTTGTAAAACCCCTTGAATCACATCTTGACTGTTTCATTTAAATTCCACTATGGTGGTGTACAAAGGCACTAGGCAAATACTTATGGACCTATATATGCATATACATAGATATACTTTGTCATCATACAGTAATTCATTGTCTTTATGACAGTTTTCATTCTTTTCAGATATTACAAAGAAATCTGCAGGGATATTTATCAACATCTCCAAAGTTCAGTCTTAGAAGTTGGTTGGTATATATCCTTTTCTTCTAGTCAGGATTCAAGTTATTCCAAACACATTCAAAGATGAAAGCTTTAAGAACTGTTTTTCTGATGGTAACAGTTTTACAGTGCTCCCTGACTCTTTATATACATATATGGATCAAACTGGCTTAAAGTCAGGGATGAAAACACATTTCGGACTTTTAACTGACTTGGACTTTAGACTAAAATTGTTTTGGTTTGAGTGACCCTTTACCCTAATTATGTTCACTTTATTAGAATAAATGATGGAACATTCCATTTTGTCACTAATAGAACAATCATAACACAAACAAAACTTCACCAATACACATTTGCATCTTTCAGTTTCACTTTAAAATGAATCAAATCATCCTTTTACAAAACAACATTAAAAAAAATTAAAATGTAAGTATTATTTCCTCAAGTAGAAAATTAGAGGTTAGGGTTTGGAACAGCCTGTATATTCAGCTTAGTACTCTCTCTATTAATGCCTTTGGTTTAAATAAATCATAACATAATCCTTGTACATGTGTAAGGTCTGAATACTTAATTGTTTTTTAAATAGTTTTCAATCTTCGTTCTAAGAATGACTAACTTGTTTGCAAGATATTATTTCTGCAGTATATCATTTTGTCTTTGCGCTTTCTGTGCTTATATTTCAAGAGACGCAGGTAACATTGCGTTTATCTGTAAATTAATTAAGTTCATAATTCAAATTACAGTCCTTATCTGTGTTACCAGCTGCAATTTTCTGAGCTTTTCTAAATACACATAGTATTTTTCTCACAACATATAGTAAAAACTACAAACCATAGACATTGTAATGAAGCTCACTTCACTTCTACAATCAAGTGAAAGACCCTGAATTCAAAGCTCAACACTGAGTGACAGATTTATTCCTTAAAACAGCAACAGGATTTTGAAAGTGGAGTATACATGTTCAGTTGAAGCTGGACCATGAATTGTTTTTATTTTGATGTTGCACTGATCTTGAAAAGTGGACATGTCTGGCCATTTCAGTCCATCTTTACAAGAGCATATATACCCACACCAAATGGGTCTGTCATATAATTTTTTCCTTCTAAAATGTTAAACAAAATTTCGCAAGTAGATTAAACCATTTAACATCATTTTATTGTATTGTTCATATCTGTATCAGTTATATCGTAACAGTTCTGGATGGAAGTCAGTGCTGCTGTTGGTGCTCCTTCTACTAAAATTAATGGCTCTGGTCTGTCCAGACTTTCCGTCTCGTTCTCTGCCAGGCTGTGGCTTATGGTGACGGCTCAAGTTTTACTGCGTTGCAGAAAATCCACACCTTATTTTAATTTAATTAGACAGAAGTGCTCTCTGATGTGATAATCCTGAATGAGGTTGCTCCATTAGATCACCACAGCCATAAATCCCCTCGCAAATAAATTGAATCTTAATTTATAGACCTCGTTTTACGTACTGAGACTGTAGCTGCCAACACCTGGCTGTGTCTCTGGGATTTGGTGCTTCTTCTCAATTGCAGTGATCACCCAGAAACTGATTTTACAACCTTCTGGGGGAGAAATTAATTTACTCAGGTGGTAAACACTACAATTATTGACTTGAGCCTCAAGCCTAAATTGGATCTTTGGAAACATTAATCATTGTCAATTCATTAACTTCTGAAATAATTAACCTATAGAAAACCAGGTTACCATTGAATTTTCATTGCAATATCTGTGATTTCAGTATGTTTGGTATGGCCTGAAATGTGTGATGTGGACTACATGTAAATTGTGTGGACAGGAACAATGTTTATGGTTTTGTCTCTACTTCAGATTAGATTTGAAATGAATCAATGTTTATGAAGTTAAGGAAGTCAAAATGTCAGATTGAGGGCAGTTAGATCTATATTAAATGCATTCTAAAAGAACCACAGACCATTAATAACTGGACAAATGGCTGCTTAGTGGTTTTTTGGTTGGCTGGGCTTTTTTGCATCATTTGTTCATGAACAAGACAGCTCATGGAAGGTGTAGAGCTGATTATAGGAGTGATTGTATTTGCATCTGGGGTCAACTGCTTCTCAAACACAAGACAGAAGTGTTATAAAATGTAATGCAGGCCATCGTGAGGCTAAAAAATCTGAATAAATGAATTGAAGACATAGCCAGAGCATCACATCAAAATCAGCTGGAATAATCAAAGTTAATACACTGGTAATATAATCAAAAAGCAAGTGGGTCACTGGCAGGCTCACCACTTGTAAACAACTCCAGAGATCATGAGGACCACAGGAAAAACTAGAAACAATCAGGCTTTGTAAATGGCTGCATTACTCTGACAGAGCATCACCAGGGAAAATACTCCATAATTCGTAATGGGCTATGGGACTGTTACACAGTCATTATTTGTAAAAGGTTCAAACAGAAGTACTTTTTCAGATTATGTTAATGTGTCCAGTTACTTATGCTTTATTGTGGTATCAAAAAAGGGCTGTTATTCCAATAAGGTTCAATACAGCTGACTTTCTCCGCTGTAATTTCATCGTTATTGTTTCATTTTAAATCCAATGTGCAGAGCCAAAAGCAAACATGTCATTGTCCAATTACTTATGAGCTGAAATTAATATTAGACTATTAGATGTTTAAGGCTGGCCTGCACTGTTGCTTTTTGCTAAACTTGGCATATTTGTTTTAAAGATGTAATGGATATTATTCCTACAATGGCTTAGAGAACTACAACAAAAGTCATAAACGTTTTATAAAAAAATTATAAAAGTTTAGATTTTTTAGTAAAACAACATGTTTGCCCTGAGATCAGTGGCTTGGGTTATGAACACACACTCCTTCAACATTGTTCTTAGAAATTTTATTTGAAATTCACTCTCATAGCTATAGATTCACACAACATGAGTGATTACATGCTGGTCAGCTACTTAAAAAAGATCAAACCATCTAGTTTTAGACAGGCTTATTATAGTTAACTACAACTATTGCTAAAATGAAAACTAGCAGTAAAAAATGCCCATTAACTGCAATAAAAATAAAGAACTGTTTTCAAAACGCAAAAACTAAATCAAAACAATAATGTCAACCGGAAAACTAACCTAAACTAAATATACTTAATGAGAAGTTTTTGTTTTCATGTTTTTAAGTGTGTGAATGAAAAGTTAGAAGTGGATCCCTTCTGTCTTTGGCCATCTTTAAAAAAAATGGAGCTGAGCCAAGCTCACTGTACTGTTGTATTAATTTTATTCTACCCTTATCAAATACCTGCTATCACAGCACATACAATAATACTGAACTAAACTAAATAAAACTAAACTAAAACCATTATTTTTCAGATAATAAAAACAAAACTAAAACTATTCATGCACCCTAACAACCAACTAAAACTAAATCGAAAACCAAAATGAAAAAGTAAGTAAAAATAAAAACTGTCAAAAAAATTTCACAACTGTAATAACTCTGCTTTTAGATAGTGCTACTTATGCCATTCTCTGAAATAACCTACATGCTATTCTCTAAAATAGGCTAAATTACAGCACAAACAACTACACAACAGAAACTAGCTATTTAAAAAGAAACAGTTCCTAAATAATATGATTAGCATGCTTTCGTGTGCCAAGTTAAGGAAATCTAAATGGATTTCTGCTACTTAAAACAATCATTTTTTAAGAACGAGTGACTTAACACTTTTCCAAGCAGCTCGTAAATCACAGCCAATGGGAATCAAAAAGAGGAGCTGCCTTTAGCAAATAGGCAGGAGGCCAAGTCAATGCCATTTCATTAGCTGAGACTTGGAGCATTGCAGAGTAGATTAGAAAAGGCCAGAGTGCTGC